CAGCCGAAGATCCTCAGCAGCACTTGAAGAACTTCCTGTCGATTTGCAAAACTCAAAGGCAACCCAACTTAACTTCGGAAGCAATCAGGCTGTTATTATTTCCATTCTCAGTGACAGGAGCTGCTCAGGTCTGGCTAACCTCACTCCCCATAAACTCTATAGAAACTTGGGATGAGTTAGTCAAGCAATTTCACATCAAGTTCCACCCGCCCAACAAAACAGCTCAACAAATTGATGAGATCGTGAGCTTTAAACAGAAACCAATGGAGACACTGCATCAAACATGGAGCCGGTTTAAAGGAATGTTGGTTATATGTCCACACCATGGTATTCCAGATCAGATGTTGGGACAACGGTTTTACATGGGACTGTCAGATAGAATGAAGAACATTGTAGATGTNTGCAGAACATGATCATCATCATTAGCACCCTGAAGACATGAACTATGTGTCAAACTATGGAGGCCAGAAACAGGGCAATCAGAACTGGGGTCAGCAACCTCAGCAGCCATACAGACCACCTCAGCTACAGTATAACGCTGGAAGGAAGCATGGGAGGTATGAGACCTCCCAACAATATGGCACCTTATCCAAGGCCACAGGGGTACAATAATCAGCAGCAAGGTTATCCCCCACCTCAACAACATCATGGTGGAAGGCAAGAAGATGGGTTCACTAGACTTGAAGCAATGATGCAGCAGGTTATTGGGTCCAATGCAAAAATAAATGAAAGAGTAGATGCACAAGACCCAGCAATCAAAAATATTGAAGTGCAATTAGGACAAATTTCAATATCTCTGAACAATCGTCCTCAGGGGACATTACCTGTAGACACCCAGATTAATCCAAAAGATCAGGGCCCAAAGCAGCTAATGGCGGTGAGTCTCCGTAATGGCAGGGATCTAGATGTAGAACAAGAGAGAGCTCGAGAAAATATATAGGCTGAGACATTCATTGAAGTGCCCATTGAGCTGGATGAGTCTACAATACTGACAAAGGTGACAGTCCAGCCTGCTCAGGAAGAAAAGAACATTCAGCAGGAGACCGAGAAAGTAGCTGAGCTAGTTGAAGAGCCAGTAGTTGAAATAGTAGCTGATAAAGAGAAGTCCCAAGTGATTAGGAAGAAGAGACATCCTGCACCCTTTCCACAAAGGCTGGCCAAGCATCAAAAGGAGGAGCAGTATAAAAAGTTCTTTGAAATGCTCAAACAAATCCAGGTAAATATTCCACTGATTGAAGCTTTAAAGGAGATGCCTGAGTACGCAAAAATGATGAAGTACTTGATGTCCCGGAAATTTAATTTTCAAGACTTGGCTACGGTTACACTTACTCAGACCTGTAGTGCAGTAGTGACGAGACCTATTGCTGAAAAGCTGTCTGATCCAGGTAGCTTTACAATTCCATGCACTATTGGGAATTTCGCCTTTGCTAAGGGGCTCTGTGATTTAGGGGCCAGCATTAATCTTATGCCCCTGGCTATCTATAAGAGGTTGGGCATTGGGAGAGCTAGACCTACCTCCATGTTGTTGCAGCTGGCCGACAGGACTGTGAAGCGTCCATTCGGTATCCTTGATGATGTGCTTATTCAGGTGGGGAAATTTGTGTTCCCTGCAGATTTTGTGATCTTGGATTACAAAGTGGATGAAGAGATTCCTATAATCTTAGGAAGACAATTCTTGGCCACTGGGAGAGTTCTGATTGACTGTGAGACTGGGGAGCTCAAAATGAGACTCAATGATAAAGAAATAACATTCAATGTGCAGAAGTCTATGAGGCGACCAAGCGAGTTTGCCAATTGCTCTCTTATTGATGTCGTGGATGTAATTGTAGAGTCCGATGATGAGGTGTTGACAATAGAGGACCCCCTTGCTGCATGTTTGATGAACTTAGATGAAGTGAATGGTGAGGATTTGGCGGAATGGGTGTTGGCATTGGAAGGTAGAGGGTTCTGGGAGAGAAATCTAGAGATTGAGCCCTTGCACTTAGAAAAGAGAGAAACTCCTCCAGCTAATCCATCCATTGAAGAACCACCAAAGCTGGAGTTAAAGCCATTGCCAGCCCACCTCAGGTATGAATTTCTGGGACCTGACTCCACATTACCTGTTATTATCTCATCTAGTTTGTTAGATGTGCAGGTTCAAAAACTTTTACATGTACTAAAAGAGTGCAAAACTGCCATAGGGTGGACCATGGCAGACATCAAGGGGATCAGCCCCGCCTACTGCATGCACAAGATTCTACTGGAAGAGGGGCACAAACCTCCCAGGGAACATCAGAGGAGGCTGAACCCTAACATGAAGGAAGTGGTGAAGAAAGAGGTGATAAAGTGGTTGGATGCGGGAATTATTTTCCCAATCTCTGACAGCAGTTGGGTGAGCCCAGTGCAATGTGTTCCTAAAAAGGGTGGCATGACGGTTGTGACAAATGACAACAATGAATTGATCTCAACAAGAACC